TCAAGGGTGAGTGTCCCCGAGTGTGTCCCGTCCCCTCCGCCCCGACGGCGCGGCCGGCCCGGCCCCGTGGTGCTGCCCGGGCCGCGCGGCGCTCCCTGCGGCCTCTGTCCGCCCGCTCTTGCAGGGGGTTATGAAGCCTTCTCGTCTGCCTGCCCCGAGCTCTGCACCAAGCCGACCGCCCCGACGGGCCTGAGCCTGCCCCTGAGCGAGGCTGGCGCGCCCGGCAGCGCCGACTCGGGCTGCAGTTCGTGCGGCACCCCGCTCTATGACCAGGTGAGGCCCGGGGACATGCGGCAGGAGCGGGGAGGCTGCCTGGAGAGCGCCCGGCAAGGCTAACGGCTCCCCCCCCCCTTCTCTTCCAGGGGGGACCCGTGGAGATCCTGCCCTTCCTCTACCTGGGCAGTGCCTACCATGCGTCGCGCAAGGACATGCTGGACGCCCTGGGCATCACGGCACTCATCAACGTCTCTGCTAACTGCCCCAACCACTTCGAAGGGCACTACCAGTACAAAAGCATCCCCGTGGAGGACAACCACAAGGCAGATATCAGCTCCTGGTTTAACGAGGCCATTGATTTCATAGGTAAATGAGCGCTTTGTGTTTTTATCTGCAGGGAAAAATGGGCAGGATCTCAATTGCTGGGAAGAAATATCAACATTCCTCTTTTCCCAGGCTGCATCTTAAACTGGGGAATTTTATTCTATAGGGGAGATACTTGGGGACCAATCCCCTTAATTTACCAAGGGTGGAATAAACTTGCCTTTAAAAAACTGTTTGAAATATTGAATTGAAAGGCATAGGTGTTGCAGAAAAGAGCTAGCAAATTTAAGTAGATAAGTCTTAAAGTAATCTTGCAAGAGCAGTAAAGTGACTCGGAGGGGCTGTTAGTATAATCGGAATTGGAGATGGAATGAGACTGCTGTTTGCCTGGGACAAAGGCTCTCTTTGTCTCCAGAGCACTGCGTACCTACCAGCCTAAGGATTCAAGAAATACAAAGCAGCCCCCTGAGCTTTTTTGCCTTTGGAAGCAGTGAGACCAGCTTGCTAACTGAATACTCTTTAATTCTTTCAGACTCGGTTAAAAACGATGGTGGAAGGGTATTTGTGCACTGCCAGGCTGGCATTTCTCGGTCAGCAACCATCTGCCTTGCTTATCTCATGAGGACCAACAGAGTTAAACTGGATGAAGCCTTTGAGTTTGTGAAGCAAAGAAGAAGCATCATCTCCCCAAATTTCAGCTTCATGGGACAGCTGCTTCAGTTTGAGTCCCAGGTCCTTGCCCCAAACTGCTCAGCAGAAGCTGGTAGCCCTGCTATGTCCGCTGTCCTGGACAGAGGAGCATCAACCACAACCGTCTTTAACTTTCCAGTTTCCATCCCTGTTCACACATCGTCCAGTGCTTTAAGCTACCTTCAGAGCCCCATCACCACTTCCCCGAGCTGCTGAAAGGCAGGTGAAAAACACAGTCAGAACTTGGACTTTTATTGTCTCGAAGTGCAATAACTATGGGGACAGTGTCATCCACAGCCACCTGCATTTTGTGGAGATCCATTCATCCATCCCAGAGCACCGCCGTAAGCTGAGAGGAGCTCACCTGACTCCAGAGAACTAGTGTTAGTGTGTGTG